AGTTTGCGCTACGAGTTTTTGTGCGTTGCGCTAACTAAGTATCGCCTATATCAGTGCCCAACGGGAAGTTGCCAATGTTAACGATTGGTTCAATAATGGGCCTTGCTTGGTGCCCAATGGTTTTTTCTTGGCAAAACAATTGGCAACCATCATTGGACCACCAATGGTTTAAACTTGGGATGATCACGCTACTGCCAATGATCGGTAGCCAAGCATCGGGCCAATATTAGTTGCCAAGGAATTGCCAAGGAAACAAAATCGATTTTCAAAAGCTTGATTTTTTATTGTCAGCCAACAAAAAACCAAGGTTTTAAAAATTGGTTTTTTTAATTATTAATTAAAATTTATTTTTAAAAAATTTATTTTTTAAAAATATATATTTTTTTAAATTAATAGAACATATTAATTTAATTTGTCACCTCTGGTAAAACAAAGATGAAAGACTGATAAATTCCCTCACTTTATATCTTACAGTGGAGGGATAACTGTGAATGTCTTTGCGAGAGAGGAGCAGGTACTTATATAGAGCCAGTGAAACAGGTCACAAGCGAGAAAAAATCACTAGCATGCACTCTGGCGGCGCTTGTCAGAACTGTTTTCTGGCGCGCATGCATATCCTGACGTTATTGACACAGCGCTTGGCAACCAACGTTGCGCCACTTCCGACAAGCGCCGCCAGAGTGCATGCTAGTGATTTCTTCTCGCTTGTGACCTGTTTCACTGGCTCTATATAAGTACCTGCTCCTCTCTCGCAAAGACATTCACAGTTATCCCTCCACTGTAAAATATAAAGTGAGGGAATTTATCAGTCTTTCATCTTTGTTTTACCAGAGGTGACAAATTAAATTAATATGTTCTATTAATTTAAAAAAATATATATTTTTGAAAAATATATTTTTTTAAAATTAATTTTTGAAAAATATATTTTTTGAAAATAAATTTTAATTAATAATTAAAAAAAATCAATTTTCAAAACCTTGGTTTTTTGTTGGCTGCCAATAAAAAATCAAGCTTTTAAAAATCGATTTTGTTTTCTTGGCAATTCCTTGGCAACTAATATTGGCCCGATGCTTGGCTACCGATCATTGGCAGTAGCGTGATCATCCCAAGTTTAAACCATTGGTGGTCCAATGATGGTTGCCATTAATGTTCCAATAATGGAACGGAGTTCGCCAAGCATGGCCCATTATTGAACCAATCGTTTACTTCCCATTGGGTGTATTTTAAAAGATAAAATGACCTTTACTGCTCGCCTCTAATACATTTATTAATTATATACGTATATATTATTATTATAAACAGTTTAACTATATATTTTAAACTTTTTTATAAAAATTATTTTCCTTTTTAATTGTAAAAAATCTTTTCCTCCACACTTTATCCAGGCTTATATTTCTAATTTTTTATTTTTATGGTCTTCAGTGGAACAAAAGTCAAACGTTATTGTATCAAATTTATTTTTTACTAACTAAAAAAATGCTTTAAGGAAAAGATTTTTTACATTAACCCATTGATGCCAATAGGCAACGGAATGCAGATATAATAAAAGTAACTATTGGAGTCCTGGCATGGGATCTAATGATAACACAGGCACACAAAAAAATAAAAAAGTCAAAACCCAGAGGTCACACCCCCCTATCCCCATGTTTTTGGGGTCGCTGAAACCGAATAAGACCATGAAAATTTTTTTTCATCGGCCATTTTCCCGCTACCACCCCCTTACACCTGCTCCCGGGGGTTGGAATTTCAGTTTAAAAAAAAGTGGAGTAGGGTGTCTATTCCTATGTTTTTGGGGTCGCTAAAACCAAAAAAGACTACCAAAAACAAATTCTTCCCTTCCTTAATCCCCTACAACCCCCTTAACACCCGAAAGGTGGGGGGTCGAAATTCGAATTTTCACGAAAAGTCGATTACGGTGTCTAAACCTACGTTTTTTGGGTCGCCGAAACCAAAAAAGACTACCAAAATCAAATCCTTTCCACCCTCAACATCCTACAACCCCCTGCAATAATTTTTGATAATTAATATTTAATTTTCAATCTCCCGAAAATCGGTTCGTTTTATTTGAAAAAAATTATTACAGGGGGTTGTAGGGGATCGGGTGGAAAGGATTTGATTTAGGGAATCTTTTTTGGTTTCAGCGACCCAAAAAACGTAGGTTTAGACATCGTAATCGACTTTTCGTGAAAATTCGAATTTCGACCACCCACCTTTCGGGTGATAAGGGGGTTGTAGGGGGTTAATGGAGGGAAGAATTTGTTTTTGGTAGTCTTTTTTGGTTTTAGCGACCCCAAAAACATAGGAATAGACACCCTACTCCACTTTTTTTAAAACTGAAATTCCAACCCCCGGGAGCAGGTGTAAGGGGGTGGTTGCGGGAAAATGGCAGATGAAAAAAAATTTTCATGGTCATATTCGGTTTCAGCGACCCCAAAAACATGGGGAAAGGGGGGTGTAACCTCTGGGTTTTGACTTTTTTATTTTTTTGTGTGCCTGTGTAATTTTTGTCGTTGAATGTTAAAAAAATATTTTTTTAACAATTTTTTTTTATAAACAAACGAAGAGAAGTCGATTTTTATAAGAAACTTATAGCGCTATTTGATTCTACGCTAAAAACCACTACGAAAACATATATTACATAATTTTTTAAAAAAGACCTATTGGTGTAAAAATGTTATAAACAATTAGCCTGCATTCATACTGTATGAGGTATAAGGATCGTTTTTGAAGTTTAGGATTTTTTTAAACAAAATTAGCTTAATCAGGAGAGTTTTTGACGTTAAAAATTTTTTAAACAAAATTTTTACCTTAAAAACTATTTATGTAAGTGGAAATAAATAAGTAAAATGTCTTCCGAGCGAGCGTTAGCGAGCGAGGAATATGCACGTAGAAAAATGGATAGTTAAAAGTAGATAGTTAGAAAATATATAATCAAATTTATTATTTATATAGTCAGAAATATTATCTTCCTGAAATATTATATATTCCCGTTTAGTATATCTAGATAATCAAATTTATTATAGGCCAACGCAGAATAGATCTGTAACCGGAACCGCAATCGTAAGCGTAACCGTAAGAATGAGTTAGAGAAGGATAGGTATATTGTTTATCCTTCTCTAACTAATTCTTACGCTTACGGTTACGATTGCGGTTCCGGTTACAGATCTATTCTGCGTTGGCCTTATCCTGGATAGTCAACTTGCCGAGCGCTTGCGCAGAAGTTTGATTACCGATCACACGCAAGAAAAACGGCACTGCCTGTTTCAAATGACGTGAAATTCGTAAACATTCATTTTCTAACAAATTTTTCTCTGTTCACAGGCACTTTTTACAGAATCTGACAACGTACATTTGTCACAAATGTTTTTAATTGTCTGAATTCAAAAGATTTTGTTAATCCATGCAGAAACGCGGTTGCAGGATTGGAAATAAAAAAGTAATGTAATGGCAGGCCACAAGACGTATGTTACAGCCATTTTGACAGTAGAGGGCAGAAGCATGCAGGAAGCGTAAAGGCTCAGCTGTCAAAATGATTCGCATTACATTGCTATGGTAATTCCAATACTGCAACCGCGTTTCTACATGGATGGACAAAATCTTTTCAATTAAGACAATTAAAAACATTTGTGACAAATGCACGTTGCCAGATTTTGTAAAAAGTGCCTGTGAACAGAGGGAAATTTGTTAGAAAATGAATGTTTACCAATTACACGTCATTTAAACCGGTCAGTGCCGTATTTGTTGGGTGATAACTGTTGGTCGCACATTATCGAGAAATTTAAGAGACCATCGAACACCGTTAAAGAGTTTTATATTATTCGAAATTTAAAAGCATTGTCAAGTTTTTTATACTGAATTTCAGATATAATATTGCTTAAAAAATATTGTTAAAAAATATATAAAACTTACAATTAGCAACATAACCTTTAAACCTGTCAAAAGAATTTAAAAATTTCAAGGGTATCGTTAAATTAATGTATTTTGTTCTTTAAAATTTTCAGATTTTCCATAAACAATTGTTTATCTAGGAAAAATGTTCACTAATTTCTAAAAAAATTAACTTTTATCATTAAATATATAGTAATAAATAGTCAAATGTGAACATCTTGGATAATGGCAGTTAGTATGTAAGTTTGATTATCCCAAGATACTAAATTTGAATATCTAGATGGTTGTCATCCTATAGTTGAGTATCCAAGATCATCACCCATGATTATCTAGATTATAAATTTGACTATCCATTTTTCTCCGTGTGACGCTAGTTTGTAATTAATATAAATCTTCAAAAACCTGATTAACTTATTAAATTTTTTATGCACATAAAAAATTCAATTATTTTTAAAAAATAACATTCTAATTATCTCCAGAAATTGTTAAAGATAGTTAATTGTCTATGAATGATTTTAGTAAAATTGAATAATCAAAATATTAAATATAATTTTTAAAAAATCAATTATATTCAATAATTGTTACACTTAAGATTATTATAAAAATATTAAACTTTTGTATATAAATAATTTAATTCTCGAAAATGTTTTAAAAAATTATTAGAAATATTTAATTCAGAAGAAAAAATTAATTAAATTTGTAAATATAATTATTTTTTAAAGAATTGCAGTTTTAATTTTTAGAAATATAGTTATAACTTTTAGAATGTTTGAGGTAAAATTTTGAAAATTTTTGAAATTCTTGTGAAAAAATAAACAAGTATTTAAATTTTTGTATTTAACAAAATTATTTGATTTTTGAATAATTGAATTGAAAAATTAGTTAAACATGAAGGAAATGGAAAATTTGATGTAAATACTTAAATCCGAAATAAACGACTTTTTCGAACTTTTTTTATCTTCAATCGATTAAAGTAAATTTTTGCGCCTGAAAGTCGATCCGAGGTCTTCAGTTGCCGAATAAATGGATTTATTTTTTTTGTTGCGTTTATTCTATATAATGTCTTTAATTTTTAAAACTAAATGTAAAATTTTTAGAAACATTTGCCGAAAGCGAAAAAAGATTAAAAGTACTTAACAAACAAGAATTTGCATATACAACAGATGACAATGTTGATCGGAAAGTAGAAGCTACAAAGCGAACATATAGGAGCAAAAAAATTAAAGTGGAACCAGAAGTAGAGAAAACCTAACAGGTAGGATCCTAACATTTTATATTTTTTCTTTGTATTTTTTTATTAGTTTTAATTATATTTTATTTAATTTGTAGATTCAAACGACTCAGACAGCAGCGGTGCTTCAGTTTCAAGGAAAAGAGATAAAAAGAATTGACAAAGATTTAAGAAGAGGAAAATAGGTACATAATATTTGACCATTTTTATGTTTTGTTTCTAATAATTTAATTCGTAATTGCTTTTATTCCATTAAAATTAAAAATATAAAATTACAGATAAATTACAGGCTTGAAAGACAGCGATGAGTCAGTAGATGACTTAGAAATAAAGCCAATAGTTAAAAAGGAAAAACGCCTCTCTAAACTAAAAACGAAGACACTAAAAGAGACACAAAAAACAGAAAAAATCTCTACCGGTAAGATCAGAACACATTTTCAATTTTCTATGGCTATTTATTTAAACACATATTAAATGTAATATAAAAATATTATATTACAGAAATTAATGACTTGCATAATAGCGATGAATCAAGGGATGATTTAGAAATAAATCACCAAATTAAAAAAGAAAAATGCATATTTAAATCAGAGCAGAAGATGCCAAACGTCTCAAAGGAAAAAGAAGAAACTTTTACTGGTAATATCAGGACATATTCTATGTTATATTGCTATTTATTTATTTATTAAAAAAAATATATATATGTAATAAAACATAATATAAATTTATTACATTACAGATACTTTTGACTTGCAAAATACCGATGAATCAATGGATGATTTAGAAATTAGGCGGAAAGATGAAAATGAGAAGATATCAAATGTCCTAAAGGAAAAAGAAGAAATTTCTACTGGTATGATTAGGACATACTTTATTTCTTGTTGCAATTTTTTAATTTCTGTAATTTATATTCAATTTGTAGATTTAATCTCCATGGATAGCAGTGAACAACTCTCTAAATCTGAATCAGCGATAAGTATGCCACTATTTCAATTAGCGTATATGCGCTGTGAATTAGTGAAATTTCACTAAATAATCAGTGAAACTTCACTGATTAATTAGCGCATATACGCTGTTTTAAAATAGTGGCATACTTATCGCTGAGAATCAGTGAAATTTCGCTGATTCAGATTTAGAGAGAAGTGATTAAAAATATTTCGTCAAATGAACAAGCCGAAAGTGATTCAAAAGCTTTTAGGGAGAGAAATGCCGGTATATTTTTTTTGAATTTGTTTTAATAATTTAGAGTAACATTTCTTTTATTTTATTAATACTAGAAACATTAAAATTTAGATCTTATTGATTTTAAAAATAACGGTGACTCGATTGTTGGTGAGTAAAAAATGCCGAAAACAAATAAAGATTCTTCCAAATCAAGACAATATATATATATACCGACTCAGAAGACAGCAAAACATCAGTTTCAAGGAATTATGTTAAAGGACTATTCAATACCAACAACATAATTGCAACTGAACAAAATAATGAATATTCTCAAAATTATAAGGAGAGAAAAACAAGTATATATAATATTACGCTGACATATTTATACCCAGGCGCGAAAGACCAATGCTGACGATAGATTAAAGGTTGATTGAGTCTTGAACGCTCAGTGTGGGTAACTCACAGTAGAAGCAGTCTTTACATCACTGTCAATCAATATTAGTTCAATATTGGTTCAACATTGGACCCAATGCTCGTCCCATGCTCGATTCAAGACTCGGTCAGTCTTTATGAGTGAAGCTCGAACATCTAATCTTGATTCAAGCTTGAATCAATCTTTACTCAATATTCAGTTTATCTTTATTTATTACCGTGTTCACTTAATTAAATAATATTATAATAATTGTTTCAAATAATAATAATAATTAACATTAAGTTATCAATTGATAAATAAATATATTATTAATTGTAACATTCATATTTAAAGAAAGTTAAATGGAAAATTTTTTTTTATAAATGTTTTCAAAATTATTATAGATAATTAATAAATAATAATTAAAATGTGCAATAAATATTCCTGACACTGCATCATATTTAATCATTTTATTAATTATGTTAACTTTTAATATTAATTTAATTAATTATTATTTATTTATTTATTAATTATTATAATTTTAATAATTATTATTCAATTAATAAATATTATTATAATTAATAATAATTATAATATTTAACATTATAATTCATTATTATTCCAAATTATATTTATTTACATAATATATTATTAATATATCTAATAATAAATGTTAATAATTTTGTTACTGAATAATAAAAAATATCAATTATTTATCGATGTTTATTAAATTATCCATTAAATATTTTTAATTGTAAAATGTTTTAAAAGTTGAATTTTGTAATGATTACAATTTTATTATGAATTATTTATTATTCATTTTTAATAATTAAAATAATTCAGGATTAGTATGTGTAAAATTTTTAGTCATAGTTTTCACTTTGCCCTTATAAGTAACAAAGTATACGGCACTGGCATTAATATATTACATTAGCCAGAGGTCTCATCGAGACTCAGTGGCCGTGCGGATTAAGTGGTTGCGTCTAGGACTTCCGGAATGCGTTTGGGGCGGGGGGACGTGAGTTCGATCCCACATGCGAGCGGATTTTTTCATTATAAGCGGTTACATAAAATAATAAAATTACTATTTAATCTGTATAATTAATAAGTGTTGTGAATAAAAACTTGTGAACTTGTTTGTAAATAATATTAAAAGTCTGTCAAAAATGAAGTTAAAAAATGTACAAATTATCACAAATTGTGTTTTTTTTTTTGCTAAAATTATTTTTCAATATTATTATGTTAAATGACATTTATTGTTAGTCATATAATATTTATATGAAAATAATATAATTATTATAATAATAACTTATTGTCATTAAATATGTAAATACATATATATTAATAACAATACTGTTTATTATTAATAATAATAATTAATATATTCACGTTATATTGAATGAACGCGTGAGAAGCGTGTAAATTTGGGAACAGTGGAAGCAGTCTTGTTCAGTCCTGCTTTCGGTTTCCGCAGCATTGATTGAAGATTGAACGCCAGTCTTCAACAAAGACTGAGCGTCAGGTTTACATCGATGTTACTATTCCGGACTCAAGTAGCCTTGCTTTCGCTGTCCCACCAATCTTCAACCAATACTGACCAAGTCTCAATCAAGCTTCGTAAAGCCTGAACTCACTGTCAGCTCGCGCCTGGGTATGTTTTTTTACAGTTTTATCTACATTCTTTATGTTTACTTTTTTAAGTCTATTGTTTTATTCGTCTTAATTAATTAATTTTAAAAACATTACATTACAGATATTAATAAACTGCACGGAAAGAAAATTATATTAAATTTTGTAAAAGTGCTTCTCAATTTAGGGAAAAAATGCGACAAGGCGAAATTTTTGTATCAAAAATACTAAACAGTGAAAGGAATAATATGAAATTTAGTATAATAATATCAAATATCAAGAATTTTAATCTAACTTTACTAAATTTCAAATTATTTCTTTCCAAGCTGTAATAAAAATATTTTTTTATGAAATTTGGTTATTCCCTTCATGAATAAAAACAACTTTAAAAAATAATTGTTTAAACAAATTTGTCAAAAAGTTAAAAAAAATTATTTTTTAATAAAATATTATTAATATTCAATACATTCTCTTCAATTTTTATCTAAAACATTTTTTTCTAGGACCAATAGTTTACATGATAAAAATTCCTGAAAAAAAGTGACCAAATAGTTTAATTAACAATATCTTGCAAAATAATTAAAATTTTGCAAAATCCTTGAGTGTACTTGAAAAGCACCCTTATCACAACAAATTAACCAAGTATAAACAAAATCTGAGATTCAAAAGTTCGACAAGCTATGGAACGCCCCAATATTAAAATTGTTACAAAGAAAGATTGAATAATAAATTTCTAATAGAAATAAAAAATATAAATATATAAAAAAATATTTATCATCACTTTTAAAGGTATATAATTTATTATATACCTACTAAAAATTTTCAGGTGAGTACAGAAAAATAAATTAGAAATTAGAAATTAAATTTTTAAATTTTAAATTTTTAAATTATATACCTACTAAAAATTTTCAGGTGAGTACAGAAAAATAAATTAGAAATTAGAAATTATGGCTTTTTTAATTTATTTCTGAAGAAATCAGAATTTGGGTGAAAATTGTGATTAAAAAATATAAATTATGCCTTTTTTTATTTATTTCTAAAGAAATTAGAATTTTGGTAAAAATTGGCATTAAAAAAATGGAAATTTTGCAAGTTTTTTTTTTAAATACTTGAGATTTTATTAAAAATTGTGATCAATCGAGATTAAAAAATATAAATTTTGTATAATATCTTTGTATAAATTATTAAAATTTTCAGTTATGTACCATTAATCGTAGAATTTAATAATCTTTCGAATGGTATATTTGTTAATTTTCTGACATTTGTATTTACAAAAAAATCGTGATTTAAAGATTAGTATGTTTTTGGGCCGTGCGCGTGCAGCCGTACCGATAATTCCCGACGGTAGTGTATATATTTTGCATAATATAAATTTTGTAGAAATTTGTACATAACTTGTGATTAAAAAATAAGAATTATGCAAATTTTTTTCTTCATATTTTCTAAAACAAACTTATAATTTTGTGAACAAAAAATTGTGATTAATAAACAGATAACATGCACAATGGGGATATTTTCTATTTGATGTTAATCGTTATATTTTAATAATATTCTAATTTTGTGAAAAAAAATTGGCATGATTTGCAATAATTTATTTTTTCTCAATAAAATAATAATTAATAATTATAAAAACAATAAATTTTTTAAACTTAATAAACACTTATTTTATAAGTAATTAATAATAAAAATTTTGAATTTTTTATAAAATAAAAAAAAATTATAATAATTATAATATAATCTATAAAAACTTAACGAAAAACAAAAGCATATACAAAAGACTAACTTCAGATATGGTCAAAAAATTATTTATTTTAAAAAAAGAAACGACAGCATTAAATTCAAGAAATTTTTTCATATATACTTTTTAAAAATATTTGATTAATTATAACCAATATTAAAAACAATTGACCTAACAGGATTAGACCAATATTTTTCTAACATTTATTTTCGTTTTGTCTATTGCTGAAATTAATGAAAATATACTAATGGAGTCTAAAAAAATAATATGTGTAAAGAAAGTAAGAAACTCATTCAATCTTAATATTTGGCGTACATAATTTTCAATTTAGGGATGAAAATAACATGTGAGTGCACTTGAATTTTGAAAATTACGAAGTATATTGGAATTTAATAGCTCTTTCACTACCGCTCTTGAGAACCTGTATAAATATGTTTACGCTTGATAATGCAAACAAAATAGCAAGAGACTGTTGAATTTT